GAAGACCCTAAAAGAATTGATGTATTTGAGTTATGGTGTTAGAGAAAAATATTTAAAGTACCCCAGACTGCCAGATGAAGAAACAAGTATGTGTTGGAAGAAGTATAGCCAGAATGTTCCTTAGAAGCTAGAATGGCGAGACTTCATCTCTCATACTTTGGTGTATTGGTGTGACACTGTGGGTTAATGCGCTGGACTGAAAAGTCAGTTTAAACTGCAAGGTCAGTGGTTCCAGCTCACCAGACACTCCTTGGAAACTCTATACAGGGTCACTATGGGTCAGAACCAGACTTGACGGCACTTAACAACAACAACTTTGAACTTATTATCAGGAAGGACCAGTCCCTGAAGAAGGACATCATTCTTGGCAAAATGGAAGGTCAGTGATAAAGAGGAAGACTCCCAGTGAGATGGATTGGCACAGTGCCGGCAGTAATGGGCTCCAATGTAACAATAATCATGACTATTATTTGTGCAGGATAAGGCAATTCTTCATTTTGTTGTACATAGGGTCTCTAATAAGTCAGACCAGACTATGAGTCAGAACTATGAGTCAATACCTAACAACAATTTAACAGTTTTCCAGGTAAGTATAGTCTTCTTTCTCCAGGACCCTTGGGTAAAGACTTTCCATATCTCTCACCACACCTATTTTGGTGCTTGTACACTGCACCAAATCAAAATCTCACTGTCATCAAGTCAATTCTGACTCATAGTGACCCTACATTGGGTTTCCAAGACTATAAATCTTTGCAGAAGCAGACAAGTCTATCTTTCTCCTGTAGAGCAGCTGGTGGGGTATAAGCCACCAACCTTGAGGTTAACAGCCCAAATTGTCTGAACTTATTTAGCCATAATAATTTTACAAGAAAATTTAAGAAAGAAATGAGAAGCGAAGTACTAAATCTGAATACATATTTTGAATGAAAAGGATAGCTCACATTAACTAACTCATGTATCTTATACACATACAACATAATCACACTAACTGAAAAATACAAAACATTCTCCAGAGTTCAAATTACTCAGAATTAGACTTGACAATCTATTAACCATCTTACACTAGGCTAGCATCCAAAGTAGAAGATTCCAAAACCTTTATCTACAGAACAGTATTTTATAAAGTACCTGAAAATCAGTTAGGTTTTTTTTTTTTAAGACTTCCAGTTAGGAATCCAGGATTGCTATCCTTTCCTTGTTTTTTTTTTTTTGTTGTTGTTGTTGTTAAATGTCAGCAAGTCAGATCCAACTCAAAGCGGCCCTGTACAGGGTTTTCAAGGAGTGGCCGGTGTATTTGAACTGCCAACCTTGTAGTTCAAAATGACCTTGTGGTCCAGTGTATTATCCCATAGCACCACACCAGAACTCCCAAAAAACATCACTTCAAATTACGTACTTTTAGAGCCCTTCACGCAAAACTATACCAGATGCCTTCAACATATAGTTATTTAAGTGTTTCATCACGTGTTCATCCAAAGATAGAGATGTTTTTAAAATTATTTGCATTTTCTGTCAAACATTCTATGCAATTCCAAGAGAGAAGCCGTTTTTAATAATTATCAGTGGATCAACTTTTTTTCTTGTAACTATTTATACAACCCCCCTCAATTTAACACGAGAACAACTTACAATTATTGCTGTAAGTGCTCAGCTCACTTTGGGCGCTGATAATGGAGGAGGTGCTTCCTGTCCTCCACAGTGCTGACTTAGGAAGTGGTCTAGGCAAATTCACCCAAGATGGTGCTGCCGTTTTCAAGGATGTGGGTTTCCCTTAGGGTTAAAAAAAGGAAAGACGTTTTCATTGCTATTCATTTCAAAAGTTCAAACTTTATAATTGCAAATTCAAACTCCTGATCTCTAAATGATGGAGTCAAATGGAATATTTAGAATCATGTGACTGCAGATTTAAAAAGGGGGGGCCTACAGGTTTGTTTATTAATTTAAAGAAAGAAGAGCAGAGAAGTTGAGGGATTCAACAAAGGTAAAACTGTTGTAGTTGTTAAGTGCCATTGAGTTGGTTCCAACTCATAGCAACCCTGTATAGGGTTTCCTAGGGTTTACGAGGAGCATCTGGTGAGTTTGAACAGCCAGCCTTGCAGTTCAAACCGACCTTGAGGTCGAGTGCTTATCCTTCAGCACCACACCAAGACTCCTATACACCCATAACCTACAGTAATTAGCTCCTACCCTTTCCTCTCTGATGTAGAGCTAAATAAGACCCTGTGAGACAGAAGCTTTTGGCAAAGTTGAAATCAAAGAGAAATAAACTGATAAGGCTTCCCCACAGTATGCAGTACTGTTGTTAAAAAAAAAAAAAAAAAAGAACATCAACAAGTCAGTTCAATATACACGCTAGGCTGCCATATAAAAAACAAGGTGAGCTTCCAATTTGACGAGAAAAAGTTCATTTGAAAATACCTAACATCTAACACCAGGTGGTGCTATAGTATCGGTATTCGTTTCATCTGATCTTTTTTTGTCTTGCCTCCCCACAGTTTGGTCTTCATTCAAATATCAAACAGCCTTGAAGCAGAAGTATTTCTGCTTATCAATGAATTATGTGTGGGTGATATTCTCTACCAACTTTTAAATCAGAAATCACATAACTGAAAACTTCACAAAAATATTCCCAAACTCAAATTTCTTAGAAGTAGACTTGATGTTCCATTAGTCATTTCACACTGAATCTAGCTTTGATACCTGCACTTGCTACCTAAATATAGGCAATTCCCAAGCTTAACCTCAGGCTCTTAATATTTTCTCTCGAGTCAATTCATTAGCTTTACACCAACCAACAGGTTATACAGATAACTTCCAAATTCCCACCTGTAGTCCTATCCTCCTCCTTCTGAATTTTAGTGCCCCTCATGTTTTTAATCCTTAGACACCTTTTTAGATTATCTATTAATACTAATGAGAGCTCTGGTTTTCATTTTTCTCAGCCTCAAAACGTTGGCATCATCTTTTCTTCCCAGGATCCTTATAAATCTAGTACCTAATCTCACCAACCGACTCGACGGCACTTAACAACAACAACAAATCTCACCAGTGGCTCCTTAGAAACACTATATAGGGTCTCTATGGGTCAGATTCGACTTGACGACACTTAACAACAACAACAACAACAACAGTATTTCAATGAAGTCCTGGTGTGGTACTGTGGGTTAATGTGCTGGACTGCACAGTTGGTTTGAACTGCAAGGTTGACAGTTCAAGCTAACCAGCTAGCTGCTCCTAGGAAACCCTATATAGAGTTGCTATGGATCTGAACTAACTCGACAGTATTTAACAACAACAACCATCTGTGCTACAAGTATCACATATCTGAGGAGTTTCAGAATTGAAATAATATTGTCATATGCTGCTAATGGCATAGTGGAAAATAAAAACAAACACTTTTGCAAGTAATTACTTTGTCCTGGTGATTTCAATTTTCTCTTTAATAGCGAAAAAAGGAGCTCAAAGCTCCTTGGATCTGACATTTAAGTCACCCACCTTAAGGTTCTACGTCTGTTTCCAGCCATTAATCCTATACTATTACATCAGCCCCACCAGGACTCCATGCACATTATGTTGTTGTTAAGTGCCACCAAGTTGGTTCTGACTCATAGCAACCCTTTGTAGGGTTTCCGAGGAGCGGCTGGTGGATTCGAATTGACTTTGTGGTCTAGTGCTTATCCTACAGCACTACACCAGGACTCTACTGCAATAAAGCTAGTTTCCTCTCTGATATCAACGTAAACAAGCTATTCTCCTGCTATGCCATCAGTTCTTTTCAAAGAGCTCTTTTTCCTCTCCATTCAACTCTGCCAAATCATTAATCGCCCTGTATTTGGTACAAACAACATTAGACTCCTACTGTCCCATCCTTCTATCCCTTCCAACTCATTAGGCTAGCCTCCCAAACATGAAAACCAAGGTCACAATCCATTCTAAAATGTCTCATTATCTACTGGCTAATACTTTTAATTCTCAGAAAGGCATAAAAGGCAGTCCAACAGTTGAATCCTACCAACTTCCTCTCCCCCTCAACTTTGGCTGTGCCCTCAATCCCTCTACGTACACAACACACACACAATTCATTTCTCCAGGATGTTGTACTCTCCTCCTACGCTGCAGTTCAGGGCTGAAATGGCTTCCTTTCTACATGGTCCTCTATCTCCGCTGAGCACATACAAATTAAGCTATTGATTCTCTTCTAAACCCTTGCTATGCATTTGTGGCTCCAACCCAGACTTGCTGAATCACATTCTGCATTTTAGCAAGATCTCCAGGTGATCCTAATACACAATAAGTTTAAGAATTACCATTGAGGCTCATGATGTCTTTGTGAGCCTCACCTGTCAAGACACCCTACTCTGTGTGGAACGGACTGCTGGTGGTGCTGTGGGTTAGGCACTGAGCTGTTAACAGCATAGTCAGTAGTTCAAGCCCACCAACTGCTCATTGTGAAAATGATGCGCTGTCTGCTCTCGTAAACATTTATAGTCTTGGAAACCATATATATAGGGTCACTATGAGTCAAAACCGACTTGATGGTAGTGGGGTTTTCCCCTTCATGCTCATACCACATACTCACTTCTATCACCCTATGGTCCCTGAGAACAGGAAGAGTACCTGATCAGTTCTGTCCTACAAGGACTAGTGAAGTGCTAACAATGTGGTGGTGGTTGTGTGCCATTGAATCTATTCTTACTCATAGTGACCCAGTATAGGATTTTCAAGGAGTGACCGGTCAGTCTGAACCATTGACCTTGTGGTACAAACTGACCTTGCAATTGAGTGCTCATCCTATAGCATCATATACTAAATCATTAAACACTTACACAACTTTTATAAGATTATTTGTATCTTCAGTCTATTAATAAGTGACAGTTTTCTTTACATCTCTTAGAATAATTAATAGATATTCAAATACCTATTTGAATTCCTTTATTTATTTATATTTAGCAAGCAGTTTGACTTGTTTTTGGAGGGACAAAGCAAGTAAAACTGGCTGCAAATAATTTTAGAATATAAATTTACTAGATTATTCTCCTTAAGCAGAAACAGTCTGATGAGTTATTATCATTAAAAGCCATAAGCAAGGTTGGGCAAGTAATCACAACTTCTGCACTATAGCCACATTACAGTCGAGGCTCAACAAGTGTTAAAAATACATGTATTCTTCAGAAAGGCATGTTTCACAGCATTGTTCCAAAAAGCATTGTAGGTTTGCAGGCACTTCTGAATGTGCCTCAGAATTACTAAACATCTGTACCCTCTATATTGCAAAACACAGCCTGAAACCAGGAGCGAACTTAACAACAAACCCAAATATCATGGTAGTTCAAACCCACCATTGAAGAGAAATATGAAGCTTTTCTGCTCCTGTTAAGATTTAGGGCCTCAGAAAGTCAATAGCATAGTGGTTACAAATCAGGCTGCTAACCTCAGGGTCAGCAGTTTGAAACTACCAGCTGTTCTGTGGGAGAAAGATGAGGCTTTCTGCTCCCATAAGAATTTAAAGCCTCAGAAACCCTATGCAGGGTTGCTATGAGTTGGAACCGACTCCATGGCACATAACCAACCAACCAACCACAAGTTGGAGTTGACTTGATGGCAGCAGATTTTTGGTTTGGCCTGCTATATTCTATTTTCACAAGCCTCAGTGCCATCCCATTCAAATCCCACCCTCTCCACTTAATAGTAACTTGTTGTTGTTGTTGTTGTTAAGTGCCATCGAGTTGGTTCTGACCCACAGCAACCTTTTATAGGATGCTGAGGAGTGACTGGTGGGTTTGAACAGCTGACCTTGTGGTCCAGTACATTATCTTTGGCAAAATCTTCTATAGTTCACCATTACTTTTGTACACAGGAGAAGATGAGGTTTTTTGTTCCCATAAAGATTTACAACCTTAGAAAGCCAATTCAGGGTCACTATGAGTTGGAACTGCCTCCATGGCACACCACCATCACCAGAGAATATTTAGTAAAACAGTGTTTTTGTTTGTTTGTTTGTTTTTAATTTAAGGTTTTTATTGTGGATTGAGTGAAAGTTTACAGGGCACATCATCAGTTTCACATTCAACAATTCATATAACTTGTTTCATTACACTGATTATAATCCCCTCCATATACCATCAGTTAAAAGTATTTCTCTTTATCCACTTTAGCTTTTTTTTAAAAAACACACAAACAAAAAAAACCCACTCAGGCATATATAATAAATTACATCTCCAAAGGGCACATTCTGCAAGTCTGCCTCCTGGCCACCAGTTCTTAGTCCTTCTCTTCTTAGTTGATGAATCTAGAGTTCTCAGCCAAAATAGTGCTTATTTTACAAAAGGAATTATTCTTTGATACTTAGAATATTGTAACAAACATCCCTGGTATGATAATGTGGGCTGAAGCACTGGACCATAAGGTCAGTTTATCCACAAAGTCAGCAGTTCAAACTCACCAGCTGTTCCTCGGAAACTCTATACAGGGTTGCTATGAGTCAGAATTGACTATATGGCACTTAAAAACAAACATATAGATAAGGCCATGTATTATTACTACTATTATTATCATCATGCCCAGTTTATAGACGAGAAAACTACTTGAATGGGCAAATGACTTATTTGTAAACCACATACCTATCCAGTGACAGGAGGCATAGAATACAGATACCTACCTACCAGCCCAATGTTCCCTCTATTATGCCTTGGAAAGAGCTGGCGAAAAGTGCAAGTTTGTGGAGATGGAAACATCACATTTAAGAGAAAACCAGAGTCAGAGGCCAACCA